CAGGTGAACACCCGCCACCTGCACTCCTCCAGCGACGACGAGGACGAGCGGCTCAAGGAGTTCAGCTTCCCGGAGGAGGCCGTGCTGCAGCAGGTGCGGTGGGGCCATCTGGGGGCCGCCCCGCCGCCCACTGCTGTCTGACCGCTTTCCCCTCGCAGGCCTTCATGGACTTCCAGATGCAACGCATGACCTCGGCCTTCATCGACCACTTCGGTTTCAACGACGAGGAGTTTGGGGAGCAGGAGGAGAGTGTGAAGTGAGCCCCAGCCGCCCTCCCAGCCCCTCCCTCCTCGGCCTGGGACAGCCGCGGGGCCGCGGAGCCCCAGCCGTGGTCTGCTCGCGGTTGTCCGCAGTGTCCCACCGGCCCACCGCTGTGGTCATGACCTGCATGGTCTCGGCGGCCGCAGAGCGCAGGCGGCAGCATCTGGGGCGGGCTGTCCGGCCGCCCTGCCCGGCCGAGGGACTGGGGTGGCGGCTGCGCGGCGGACCTCCGGTCTGGAGCAGATGGGGCGCAGCCATGACGGGCAGAGGGCCCTGGCCAGCTGGCCAGCTGTGCCTGCGGCCGTGGGCTCCTGGCGCCCGGAGCCCGCCGCGGGAGCTGGCGGTGTGGCGAGTGTCCCTGGCAGTGCAGCCATCAGGCCAGGGCCGTGCTCCTGTCCCTGAAGCTCCCGTCCTGACTCAGGCCCCGCCCCCAGGTGGCCTGCGGGTGCCAGGCCTCTCAGTTTTGGGCCCAGGGGGCCTACCGAAGGGGCCATCCTGTGCCCAGCTGCCCTCTCCAGGGTGTCCGAGCCAGACAAGCTGTCTTGGGCAGAGGGGAGCAGTGCCGCGTTCTGGCCATGCTGGGCTTTGGGCCTGTCCAGGCGCCGTAGAGGGGTGTGGCAAGGGAGGGGCCACTGCCCCAGGGCTGGGTCAGAGACAAGGTGCTGCTGTTCCTTGCAACCTGGAGGGGCGCAGGGGCTGCGTGTGGCTGACAGCCCAGACACGGGGCGGGCTGGACAGCGCGCAGTGGACGGCCTCCCCGCAGTGGTGCAGAACCGAGGCCCAGTTGGGGCCGCGGGGCCAGGATGTGGCGGGGGAGTAGCCCCTGAAAGCAAGCCATTGGGGGTGTCCCCAACACGCAGGGTCGGGCCACCCGGGGCGGTCTGCAGAGGAGGGCTGCTGGTGGCGGGCAGCCGCCGAGGAGCGCTGCCTGCAGGGGACTTGGAAGCGTGGCCCTGGAATGGCCGGGGCGCACTGGGGAGTGGGCGGGGGGGCTGCGGCGCCCCTCACCCTCACGCCTGTGCCCTCTCCCAGCGCCCCTTTCGACAAGACGGCCAACATCACCTTCTCCCTCAACGCGGACGACGACAACGTGAG